TCTAAAAAACAAAACTATAACCAGATTCAGAAAATCTAGAAACTGAAATAAAATTCATTCTCATATGAGGTACATAAAAGTGTCTGATAAAACTAAGGAAACTCCAGAATCCAAGCGCAGACTGAAAGTCCCAACGAGCTCCACCTCCAAAGGCTGTGAGTTTCTTAAAGGCAATTGCTCATTTGTCATTGCCTTCCGACTGTGGATTATTCCCTCCCTTCTTATTCAGCCACTGCTTATACTTCAGACAGTCTCTCTTCATATGACCAGGTTTCTTGCAGAAGAAACATTCAACCTTTTCACTTGCTGAAGAAGTGCTAGAAATAGTTGAAAGATTGCCGAAAGACTTCTTCCCCTTATTTTGCCCTTGATACTTGAAGGATTTCTTTCCTGTCTTATTTGGTCCAAGCTTGCCATGTGCTAGATTTGCCATCTCAGCTTTTCCTGTTTTTAGCCGCTCTTCCTCAGCAACACATACAGCAATAAGCTCATTCAAGTCCCATTTCCTGTCTTGAGAACTATAGTTCACCTTAAAAGTGTCAAATTTGCTTGGTAGCGAAGCGACTGCAAAATGAACCATCAGATCATCCTCTAACTGAAGTCCCAACTCCCTGAGACGAATGATCAACTGAGAGACCTTCAAAATATGCTGCCGAACATCACCACTTCCATCATATTTCAGATTAATGAGTTTGACCAGATAATTGTACTGTCTCGCTCTAACGGATCCCTCAAACTGCTTCTTGATGGTCTCAAGCAACTCCTTAGCAGTTTCACAAGCCGGAATCCCTCCACGAATAGTCTGATCCACCGTTGCTCTAATGATCAGCATTGCAAGCTTATTGGCTTTGACCCACTTAGCATGAGATTTCTTTTCAGATTGACTTGATGACTCATCAGGCTCTTCTGGCTTATCTTCAGTGAGAACATAGTCGTAGTCAAGACACCCAAGTACTATTTCAACTTACATCTTCCAGTTGCCATAGTTAGAACCGGTTAGGGGCTCAATCCCAGTCAGATGCTTCTGGATAAACTGTCTGTCCATCTGCATTACACCATGGATGTATAAATCAAATGAGACCTTCAATTTTATTAACTTTAATATTTCCACATCCAATTTAGGGTTAGAATGGATGGGTCAGAGTGTTTTACGTATGCAACCTTCCACTCTGCGGGACAGGCGGGTGCATCATCTCATCACACCTTTGGGCAAGTGATTTGACATGCTATTTGCCCCCTAAATGTGATATATAATCACCTACAGAACTAGCCTACACAGTGTCAGTTTGATTTGAACACTTCCTAACCTTTGGGCAATAGGGTAATTCTCCTCTCACTGACATGTTTCAACTATCCTGCACCACTTATCCTGTAGGGGATTTCCTAGACACCTTTGGGCAAGACTAGTAGTCCACCTACAGATAAGTGCAACCTACCAGTCCAAATGAGACGAAACTCAACCTTAGAAAATTAGGGTATTATAGGTTGGTCACCTTTGGGCAAGACACTAACCTACTCTACCATAATTTCTAAGTGACTGTTTTACTGATCTTCCTTAACCCCATAGGTTGATCTAATACTTTAATCCATTTTATTATGAACCCAAATATTTACCCCACCTGAATTAAGGATATAATCAGAGTAAAACAATTATCTTTATGTGCATACAATAATCTTTATGAATTGTCCAAATTCTTGTATTAAAACTTTATGAAATTAAAATAAAAACTGTATAGTTGAAAAGTACACAAAATGATCTTTCCAACGACTATTTATGGGCTCAAATCAGACTTAAAACGGATCTGTAGCGACCAAAATAAAATGAATGGTCAAAACTGTAATGGGTCGGGTTTAGAAATTAATTGGAGCGGGTCGGGTCCATTAAATACTGGATCGGGTCTGACTTAATGGGTTTTGGAGTTATGTAACTAAAAACTAAAAGATAATTATATTAATTAATCTAATTATTTATCAATTAAACTAATTAACTAAAAAACCCTAACCCTAATCCCACGACCCAAGACCCGCCGCCTTCACCCAAAACCCTCCGCTGACCGCTGCCGGCATAAAAGAAAAAAACGAGCAGCCATGGCCATGGCGAGATCCGCTAGGCGTTGAATATTTTAATCGATGTTCGTCAGCAAAAGTTGATCACAAATATTCAAAGCCGGAGAACCAAGCAATTTGAACTCCAGCCATTGCCGCATGATTTTTTATTTTTATTTTTTATGTGGAGAACCAAGCGATTTGAACTCCAGCCATGGCCGCATGAATTTTTTTTTTTTATCAGTTAGACAGCAGACCCAAGAAAACCACAGCGGCCAAAAAAAATATTTGACGGCAAACAAAAAAAATGTTGAATATATTCTAGATCAAAAATTCATGCACAAACTATGATCTGATACCACTGTTGGATAATATAACGATCTAGACATGAATAATTGAACTAGAAATTCAGATTAAAGTTATCGTTTACCGACGAAATAATGGAAGTCTTCTCCTCTCTCCTCCCGTAGCCAATGATGGGAATTAGATCTCTTTTCTACATACGGTTGAGAGGAGGGACTCCCACCCTTTATATAGATATTTGTGATTAACCCTACCCATCATGGTTTAATCACAACCGTGGGATTACACTCTGATCGATCATATCCTTTAGATATTCAAGATAACCACCCAACTTGATAAACATGAAACTTGTCTAACCAGACCATGTGGTTAGCATCCTGATCCTAACTTGAATCGATGGCAACTTTAAATCAAATCCAAAACGAGTAGGTTGGGCCAAATAGGTTCGTTGGATTAATCGAACCCAACAGGTGAGTCTCTGAACTTTTACAGCGAGTGATTGCACTTCCTGGAATTACTTGATATAAAAGTCTTGAAAATTTTGTCTGTCAAATTTTGCTTAACATTATTGAGGCATCCATAGAGACAGATACCTGGTGAATCCTGCAGCCTTCCTTCAACTATTCTTTTGAGTAATAAGTGATGAAAAAATCTTTTCTCAGCAAGTTATAATGCTTAGATTGACTAAGAAAAAGATTAACCTTTTTGTCTTTCTCTCTGGTGAGATCTCTGTACCTTCTTTGGACTCTGATCTGATAATTTCCATCAATGTCTACAGTAGTCATATCAACTTTACAGAGAGAAAATTGTGGAGAAATATTCGGATAGTAGATCTAAATTAATTCATGAGCTTACATTAGAGAAAGTAAGCAGAGTCTCGTAGGAACCTGGGACCTAAACCATACACAAATACAAACATATAAGTTCTGGCAATGTAGAAACTATTTAGCTAGAATTTTGTACCGAGTATAATGCAGCATTTCCACAATGGAGTCAAAAGAATGCACTCGAAAAAGTAAATTAGAAAGGGTTTTTACATCAAAATCAACTTCACTTCTACCCAAATTGATACTTACCACATTTAAAAAAATTTTTGATGAAAATCACCTTTACTTGCTATCATATTTGCAATGTCACAATTTTTTACTGTTCACCCATAAAAAATAAGATATTTTCATTTTACGATCATCTTCTTCCTTCCAATCCCTATCTCTAACCCTAACTCTAGCCTCCTTCACCCTCCTCTTCTACAAACCCTAGCCTAATCCTAACCCATGACCGCCACCTCCCCCAGACTCTAACCCTAAACCTAGTTCCCACTTAGGAAGGAATGAGAGAGTGGGAGGTCGGAGAGGAAGAGGAGGGGGAGGGGGGGGGGTTGTTTGGGGAAGAGGGAGAGGGAAGACGGGGAGATTAGGAGGTTGAGGGGGTTAGGGTTAGGGTTTGTAAGGAAGAAGATGAAAAAACAAGAAAAGTGAGGGTAAAATAGTCATTTCGCGTATTTTTTTCGTTGAAAGCTAGATTAGGTGTGACATTGCAAACATGTTACCAAATAAACATGGTTTACATCAAAAAAAACTTCAAAAATGGTAAGTATCAATTTGGATAAAAGTAAAGATGATTTTGATGTAAAAACCCAATTAAAAATTACCAATATTTTTTTCACAAGCATGGAACTTATATAATGAATCATGGAACATATATAATAAATCATAAGTACGTCTTTCAAAAACACAAAAACACAGGTACAAACAAAATGGTAAGAGAGAAGGTACTAGGGGTGGGGCGGGCTGGGTCGACCCGCAGGCTAACCCGACTCCAGCCGATATGAGTCACGACTGCGGCCCAACCCATAGTGGGTGGCCCAACCCAACCTATGATATACGCGGGTCACAGAGCCAAGCTGGGTCTAACTCCAGACCCGGGACGAAGAGAAATCGGCCCGGCCTATCCCCTGTTCCTCAACCCGGTCCGAAATTTTAATTACTAGTGTTTAGTTTTTAATTTTTAGTTTTTAATTTTTTTTGCAAAATATAAATGAGAGTTATTAACTTTGCGTGGACGTAGGTCTTTTTTCGTAGTCCGAATTACGTATATCTTTGTGTTTGTGATGTTTTTCTGCATGATATTTATCTTTGTATAATGTGTGTGTATATATATCATGTTAAATAAATAGTAGAATAGAAAAAATAATTTAAATATAATTTAATAGATACGAATACAAAGTCAATATAGTTTAGAAATTAAAAAAAAAAAGTTAAAGACCCACGACCCGTAGGTTGTGGGCTAGGCCCGACCTTGGCCGATCGTGGGCCGAGCCGAGTCCAATCCCAAACTTAAGATCAGAGAAAAATATGTCAGGGTCCACTCTGCGGACGTGCCCGGATCAAACCTGGCTCGGCCTTGAACCCAACGGGCCGAGTCACGAGCGTAAACCAGCCCGGCCCACGCCCACCCGTGGGAGGTACGCTTGTCATATTATCCTTCCAAATTACAAGAATATATGAAATCCAAGAACATAATTTTACAACAATTATGAAATGTTCTCTATGATCGTAGCGAAGAACACAAGTCCATCAGGACAAACTTTGGTTGAAAAACAGTAGACATCCACAAGCATCTCTCCGCTTGGGAAAAATAGCAGCTGGATGAGAATGAAAGAATTAAATTAGCATTAATAAGTAAAAAATGAGTGTACATGCGTACATCTTTTGCAACTCTCATTGTGTTAACAGATACCATGGAGTTTCAGTAACCATCCATGTAGGAGCTCATCTATGAAGCTGGTATAGTTCGGACGCTCGGACCTTTCAAGATACTGTTACTAAGTAAAAATGATTACACGTGTGTACATTTTATACAATGCTGATAGTAATACAGCGAGAGGGTCTTTTTGCTGGTGTATCTGTGTTCAACCGTCTTGGTATCATACATACCACATGAAGGACATGCAAATATGAGGCTTTTACCTTCTTGAACCATTGAGATACTATTGCCAAGACAGTAGAGGTTGCATTTGGCAGTTATTTACTCTGGAGATAACTGAAAAGAATGGGGGTAATGCATTACAGTCAAAATCTGGAGAACTGGACAGCTCCACTGTGTTTTTTTTTTTTTTTTGAGATGCTTGTGTACCCCTTAAATCATGCATATTTACGAAACTTACCCTCCAAGTTGTGGTATCTACAAAACTACCCCAAATGATCAACCTTGGAAAAAAAAACCCCAAATCAACAATCAATAACACTTGAGAGTTTGTATCTACAATGTAAAAATATTAACAAAATAGATTAATTTACTCACCGTATCCAGCAAAGTTTGATGATTTGTTTGTTGGGGATATTTTCCCCCAAAGTTGAAGATTTAGGGGCAATTTTACAAATATTGAGATTTGGGCATAATTTAGCAAATACACAACTTAAGGGGTATATATAGAAACACAGCAAAAACAATAAACCGAGCTCATTACAACACTTTTAAAAGGTCCAACAATAATGACGAAGAACCTGCTGGCCTTCATCAAATGTTCAATAGAGTGAAAGATATACGATTTTTCTAGCAGCTGTGTGCCCATGGGCACTCGTTACGGAACGAGAGAGAGAGAGAGATGAATAGCAAGCAAGCCCCCCACTAAGTTGCACTAATTTTCTCTCCTTGTTTGTCCTCTCTCTATCTCTCATCTCCTAATGAAGGCCCAAGGGCACAAGAGCACCCGTTAGAAAAAACCCAAAGACATACAATAACAAAAAAGTCATGCTTGAATTAGAAAGATACAATTTGATTGCACAACTGTGGTGCTCCTGTGGATAAAAGATCATTCGGACTCAAAACACATTTTGTCATCAGCATCATTCTTGCACAAATCTATTTACATAATAGATGATGAATTGATGGGTGTCAATCAATGCTTAAGAAACTTCTAAGAATAATATATTTCCCGCTAGCAGAAAAGCTTACTAAAAATCAATCTTAGTTTAAAGTTTATAATGATTCTTAATAACAGATTGAAGGAGATAAACTCACTTGTTCGAAGTACCAACTTCACTTTTACAGAGCTTGTATTCTTTTATGAGAAGTGGAAACTTTTGCACTCTAGTCATATCTAATAATAAAACAGAAAGCTTGATCTCAATATTTTGTGATCAGTTTTAAGAATATCTCCTGTAGTCATATTCATCCAGATAACCATCTCAACCAAAATGTTAGGTTTACTAGTTGTGGTTCATGTGTGTCCTTGTTTCTAGGAAAGCCTCTGGAAGATATGTATGTTTGGAGAAGCAAGACAAGCAGGGCTTTTCTTTTTTAGTTGTCAAAAATGAGGTATAAACCAGGACATCCAAAATTTAATAGCCAAATAAAGTAAACACATGAGCAGGAATATGATACTTACCTATGAAAATTGAGGATCAAAGGAGAAAAGCTTCCTATGTTCGGGTGTTGGATTTGCCAGCCACTGACAGAACACCCATGCAGCCCCCACAACCGAGGACAGAGAGAGTATAGCGAGGAAACCAAAATGGGAAACATCATTTGCAATTATCGCTACTCCTAGCATTAAAAACTCCGCAAGGCTCGCAATTGAGACCTCTGTCGCCCCAATCAAATTTGCTTTGGACAAGGGAATCCCTGTCTGAAGAATTTGAGTCCCCACAACATCATAAGACATGTGACCTAACCTTGATAATACCTTCAAAACAGTAGTTCAAGAAATTTGTATTCCCATGTAAGAATTTATAAGCTGTGTTGGAAGTAAATGTAGAGAACCAACTTTTTGGCGTCAAATGAAGAAGCAGTCTAGAGATGCTCACAATTAAAGAGAGGAAAAGCAACAGAGGTGTTTTTCGAGAAATTGAACTGCTACAAACTACAGCAACAGCCATGGTCAGAAGTAAAGCTTGAAATACCAAACCAGCAGCTCCTGCCTGTTAGAGATAGCAGCATTTAGTATTATATGTGGACAAACAGATCTATAACAAAATAGCAACTAGCGACATGAGTACCTTCAAAGTACCAAGCTTTTCGACTAGAGTTGAAGATATGAATGTTGCTGCAACACCCATGAAAGCACATAATCCACTAAAGCTGCCAATAATAGATGGACTTGTTCCTGTTAAACATCCATAGGGCACAATCAGGATGCAGAGTACAGATTTGATCATTTTAAAGAGCTGAGATACAATAGAACCAACCACATAGCATCTAGTTGTATTTAACAATTGCAGATTGAAAAGAATTTTTGAAGAAAATATTGTGAAGTTAAATATCGAGTGGTTAGATGTAGAACAATCCAAATAAAGATTAAAAAAATAGTAATACTATATGACATGACAGTAAAGTACCCAGCTGACAAAGGAATTCAGAAATGGAATAAAATATCCTAGTTTATGCAATTATGTTAAAAGGATAATAAGGAAAGAATGAAACAGGAGTCACCACAGGAAAACTAATATTTGATGCCATGCAATCAACTGATGGCCAAGTCGCTATGCGGACATAATTTAATTGGTAGACTAACATGAATAATGTAGAGGATAAAGACCTGAGAGAGAAGTTAAACTGAAGTCCACTGACATTAGTATAAACTCGCAGGATGCTCGTAGCATTGGTTTCTCAGAATTCTCACTAAATAAATTTAGACTTCATAGTTTCTAACTCAAGTGAACCAGCTAGACAACAATCTCTATTCAGAGACCATAAATAATCTAGTGCATCTTCCATTGATAAGATAATTTCTAATAACAAGAAAATTTTCAAAACAGCAAGAATATAAACAAGAGTAAATCAACTCAAAATTGGATTTATTTGAAGGAGATAGGTAAAACTTTTGAAACTATACCGTGATGCATTAGGAATGCAGTCATTATGGCACCTGGAGCAAGAGCAATATTGAAATAAAGGAGCACGTATGCTACACTGGCAGGAAGAACAGGCTGATGCTTATACTCCATCCAGCCATGTCGTATGGCACCCATTCCATGTTCCACTAAAATTTAGAAAGGGACAGATGGTATTAAACTTCCATAAGTAAACATGCACTATGTCTCTCTGTGTGTGCATTCATGTGTGTGTGTGTGTTTTCCTTTTTTACTTAGCAGATGAGAAGATCCACAAGATGGTTCTGAACTCTGAGAGACCTTGCCGAGGTCAAGTACACCACTTGAAAGCTTGTTGATAAGCTGACCTGAAAAAATCTGGAAAGTAAACCGGTAACTAGAGATGTTCTACATCATCACATTATTCAGTTCAAGGACGAATTGTTACCAGAATAGGTAATGTGCACATCATAAGACCAGACGCAAGCTTTAGACAGGTCACTGTATCGTACTTGGTTAGTAGTGTGCCAAATATTGAAGCCCCAGCTATCTGTTGAAGATATTTATATAAGTAAAACATCACAAAGGATGTCAAACAGCTAGCTGGCTTATGTAACGCAGTCCGTAATTCTAAGGAGTACTAGAACTGCGAAATGAGCAACAAGAAACAAAAGGCAGAGTTGGTGATTACTGCATGATATTCTTCTCTTTATCAAGCATGAAACCCCTTTATATATAACTCATGTCTCATAAACCACAATGAGAAGCATGCAACTACATGGTCACAGAAGGAAGACTAAACAAATTTGTAGAGACACACCATCCAAGTATGGCTAGAACTCCGGACTAAGAAAAAGGGATCACATGTTCAACTAGTTCACCTAATGATATAACAGAAATTACAACTAAGTTTGAAAACTAGTGTAGCACTGCATTTCTTCTTAATTAAGCTCTCCAAAAATTGCAAATTATTATGGTACAGAAGGTGCCATTAGCAGTTACAAATACGATTAATTAACCAAAATAAGTAGTTAGAAAACTAAAAGTGACAGCGAACAGATGAGCAAATAAACGATGTTCAACAACCGAAAAGAAAAAGAAGCAAACACACCTCACAAACAAAATCGATTCGACTGAGCATGGCATTCGCTTGAGCGAGTGCAATTGGTCTATTTGCACCTGCTAACTTCACATACACATAGGACCACATATGAGAAAAAAAAGAAACAAATAGTTGAGGTCTCAGTTAGTAAGGAAGCCTCTTATTTACCAGCACTACCCAGTCGCGCTCCACGGTTACCCCCAAAACCAGCCCTGCAGTTCTTTCCAGCGCCCCAGCTATCACCAATACAATAAACCAAGGCTGGAGAAGCACAGTTGATGCAGAGGCATGACGTGCTGTAGTGAGAGCATATATGATCATCGCCACTGACAGCAACTGAGCAGCTGTCTGACAAGTTCCATTAATAAACCCGTGAAAAATCAGAGGACTGGGAAAACCAAAGAATTTGATGAAAAAAAGATATGAAGGAGTGTTCTTAGTTCTTACACACCTGGACAATATTCAAACTGTTATATGCAGGGATTCTAGGAAAATGATCCATCAGATAACCAACCACAGGGGCCCCAATGAAGATTGAAAGCTGTACATTAAGAAAAATGTTACGGCTTCTTTCCATGTTTCATAAGAATCAAGCGGCTTTCCTCTACTTACCTTAGCGAAAAAGCCGAGAACAGCCACAGGCAGGAGACTTGGATGAAGAACTGCAACAGCAGCCGGCCAAGCAAAGTTCCATAGCTGTTCCACCAAACTGCCAGCTACATAACTAGCATACAGAGCTGAAGACGCTATTTGTCATAAAATGAACATCCCAATGGTAAAATTATGAGGTTCTAAAACATATTGAGACACAAAATAATTCTAAAAAGCCAATAATTGTAAAACTGTCATAATAGAAATAAACTAGTAACTCTACAAAATAATGGAACTACTAGAACTTGTATAAAAGTTGTTTCAAACATACAGAGACACAAAAGATTTCAAGTGTATTTTAATGTTCATGCAAATGTGTGAATTAAGAGGTTTTTAGCAGTACAAATGATAGGTGAAACTTGGTAAAATTAATTTATGTAATAATAGAATTTTGTGTCAATTTAGGTATACATACTACAATATGATTGTAAAAAGAAGAGAACAAGAGATAAAGTAAATAAAAAAAGAGGAGGAGCACTGATAGGATTAAATTTCTCAGCCGAATGTCCAGGTGCTTTAGCAGCCAGTGCCAACTTCGCTTTTCCTCCCGATTCTAAAGCATTGGTTTCTCCTTTTCCAGATAATCTAACCATCAGTAAACTGCGAATGTTGGAGCCAGCCTTCTGAGACGGCCAATTAGTTTTATGAGACAACGTACGATATCAACACCACCTGTTTGCCATTCTGTTAGTGTATATCTTGCTCTATCATCTATTGCCAATGATTGATCTCATCTAGCTTATAAATATTTTCTTAGCTCTTTTCTGTTCATCAAAGCTTAACACCTTCAAACATGATCAGCCAAAAGTCGAGCAACATCATCGGTTAGTGATCATGCGTTATCTAAACAGTGATAAGCCAGAAGATTGGATCTTTAGATCCCAGTGGAGCCTCAATCTAAGTGTCCTATACATCTAATTTCAAGTGTCCCATACTTAATATTTAATTACGACTTTCTGAAATATTTCATGGTTGACTTTATTTTATTATTTTTCTATAATGCGCTCAAAGTCGCAACAAACAGTCCTTATTTTTCAGTTTCCCATAAACAAATAGAGTCCTTATTTAAGTGCTCAGGCGAAAATGAGTGGTTGACTCTTCTTTTTATCATTGTGCATAGGAAATTCATGTGGCATAAATTCACCAACGCCACATATTTCTGGGTTGCGTTCAACATCCAAAATAATGGGTTGCCTTGCTTTGAAATATGTCTATCCTAATAAGAAGAAAATGTCTGACTTAAGATTTGATCACTATTATAGTAAAATATGTCATATTCATAAGTGATGCATGAGAATTATCACTGGTTGGAAGATTTGTCAATCACGCACTTCTTTTTTGGATTCAGTTTCGTAGATTTGCTTGTATTTGATTCATTGGTCTAAGCCTAATTCTAAAGCTTGGTAACAGAAGTCACACCTGTGCAATAAGCTTCTGCAACATTTGTCTCTTTAAAAAAGTAACTTATTGGGGCTGAAGAGCGAAGAACTATCCTTCTCTTTAAAAAAGTTTGCACTGAAAGAATTAACCATGAAGGAAAAAGAAAAGGAAAAAAAGGTGACAGTATGATAAAGAAGACAATGAACACAAACACATCAAACTCATTACACCAGCGACGGCGTATTATAGATTCGTTCTTTCAACTTATTGGTTAGTATTTCTAGTGCAATCCATGTGTTATGATTTGAGCATATGCAATGTGTCCAAGAAAATAAATGTCGTCTTTGACAAACATACTAGACATAATAGCAAATGCTGCCTACCATATAAGCCAGCAGGATGAGCTGGTGTCGCTGCCAAAGCATCTTGCTCCTCCTCAGATAGAACCTGAATTATGAAGTATTAATGAGCCAAGCTTAAGCTGTCATACCAGGCTGACTTGATACACAATTAGCATGGAAGAACATGTAGTCCCTTTCATTAGAAATGGTTGAGTAGGAAATGAGAGACTGTACCGGCAATTCATCGAAAACAGAATCTATATAGTTTACATCCTTCAACAAATTCAAAGGTTCGGAGTCAAGAACATCCGACGTAAGGTGAACATATGGGAGTGAGCAGTCAGATTGAAAGGATGGATGTTCCTCTGGGATCTCATCCACTGTCGAAACATCATGTAGATCAACATCAGCATTTGTGATCGAGCACTTTGAAGCAAAATTTTCAAACCTGGAACACATATAAAGAAAGTTACCAATTGGAATACTCATAAAACTTGAGATTTTAACCTTAAGAATATCAACTAACATAAATATGCAAGTTTATGCTTGCCACCTAGCTCAGATACATTAAACAATTCAGAAATAGATAGGGAACAGCCACGGACCGGGCATGAGTGTGTCAATTACGCAGACAGACAATTGTAAAAAGAAAGAGGAAAGAGTTGTCTGATGTGCGAGTGGAAGTGGAATGGTGTTTGCGGTAAGTGGTTTACTGGAGAAAATCAGACATGACAATTGTCCGATTTTCTGGCCAGTTTAGTTTTTACAACTCTAGGAGCAGAATAACTATTTACTTGCTTCTCTTGAGAAAATCAAGACTCAAGAGACGGGCATATCTATATGCATAATGGGATTTAAACTAATGTTGACTTTTGCATGAGCATCATTCTTATTCTGAACCGGAGTATAAGAACAAGATAAATATAATCAAATCCACCTCCCTGGACTCAAAATTAAGTGCCTACCTACCAACTAGTCATCAAGGATTTATAGCAGGGCCTACACTTACTGACAGCTGCTTTCAGCTTGGATTTGGCTTTTCTCATGCAGATAGCTAACAATTCTAGCAAGGTGAATTAGTATTATTGAATAAACATTTGTTCAGGAAAATCTACCAAAGTCAACTGTTCCACGCTTCTATACTAAGAGGATGTTGCCTTTCTTCTATTTGCTTGTGGTGCTTTTATCGAAATGAGCATTTTCCCTGAAAAGATTATAGGCTTCTTGATATAATCGACTAACAAGTAGCTTTCTAGAGGAACTATGTCGTATATTTCATCAAAGTGAACCAATTCTGCATTATGAAACACTTTTAATTCCTTGAACTTAATTTCCATTAGAGTAAAGGTGCACATTGCTTGAACATATTTTTTTAACCCATAAAGAGTATGTCCTTGATACTTCTATTCGAAAGCGCGCCACCAAAGAAAGGCACACTTGCATAAAGCTTCCCACTTCAATATCGAAATCAAACAACAAAAAACAATAAAGCCTCATCCCAAATTTTTTGAGTCAGCTACATGAATCATATTCTTCAATTCAGTCCTACTACGCGCCATCCCCTCCACTAACTATTAGCATCCAGCAAGTTCTTTGAGGTCTAACCTCAAGCCCTCTTTGCTCCACTAAATAAGCCTCAGTTGATTCTCTCTCATTTCATCAAAGTGCAACATTCTCAAATCAAATCAATGGGACCCGATAAAAGATTTCGACTTCCGCGCTGAAATCAAACCGGGTGGCCAACACGTTTTCCCACCAATCAGAACGAAAGACTCGCAACCCGTTCAAGTCGAAACAGGACGCAATTCAAGAAAAATCACCTTTGGCCGGAGATTTCAAGGGGCGTCAAGCCGCCGAAGAGGAGAACGCAAACCCCGCCCCGCCGCCGCCGCACGACATCGAAGGCAGAAGACGAAAACGAGCATCGACGAAAGGGAAAACGAAGGGAGAGGGGAGACGATAACCAGCCCATGGGTGCGCTTGAGGGCAGCCTCGGATTCGTGAAGCGAGCCCCTTCCACCTCTCCACTCATGCAGCCTCCACCAATCAAAATCTAGAAATTCTAGGGTTATTAGGCTTAGGGCTTTGGATCCCTAGGACTCGAGGCTTTTTGATCCAAGAAAGCCTCTCATTCCCGTAGTACGGAGCTCTGCTCTCTTATCCTTTGGGAAGAAAGAGCGGAGAATTCGAGAGGGGGTTTTAAGTAACTAGAGGGGATTTGTTTCTTGGTCACTCACTATAAAAATTTTATAAAGATATATACCTTACTTTCTATAGCTCTCTACACTGTCCATGTATATTTCATAAATTAGTTGTTAATTTGACATATTAAATTACTTTTTCTTTGTAGAAATTTTTTCTTTGACTTTTGGATTATGTAATCACTATGTCACCATTCTAGCGTAGAAAAGACCTCATTCTAAATAGCTTCAAACCAATGTTTGAGTTGAACTGAAGTATATACTATTGCTACTATACGTATATATATTTTTTTAAATCATGTTGACACTTTTTTAACAGAAAAGAATATTCTAATTTTTGATATTATAAAAATAAAATATAGCCAATTGAGTGTCTAGCAAAAGAGGACTTATATCAGAAAATTATGAATAATAAGATAAAGAGCAAAGGTAATGACATTGCCAACAGTATTACCAATAGCAAACTACAATGTAAAGTTAACTTATTTTGTGGAGCCCAACTACTGACTATAAGCATCGAGATTTCTATATATATACTTTATAATTTATTAATAATGGTATATAATCCAACTACTGACTATAAGCATCGAGATTTCTATATATATACTTTATAATTTATTAATAATGGTATATAATCTTATATAATAAACTTGATTTAATACTGAATAATAATATCATTGTAAATGAGCAATTACAAAAATATTAGGGACTAACATGTATGTATTTAAGATTTCAGGACGAATATCTTAATAACCTATTTATATAAGCACGCCCCACTCTGTCACCTATACTGTACACTTTTCTCCTTGCTCATTCTCCACCAATTTTGTTGTCACGCTCGAAGAGAAATAAAATTCATGTCGGTGAGGTCTTCTCTCCCTCTATCCCTCGATCTCATATTTTTTAAATTAGTTTCTTTAATTCTTTTTTAATAATTTCTTGGATCCATTTCATGCTTTATTCTATGAAGTGCCTTGTTAGATTCAATTTAAATATACTTTTATTCTAATTGTTATTTTTTCCTATTTATGGGTCAATTAATTACTAGAATGTTTAGGTCTTTTTGCCCATTTCATATTTTGAATTAATAGTTTATTTTAAGAGAATTTTTAAAAAGATCACTTTAAAATACTGGCAACAAAGAGGTCGATTTTGTATAAAAATCATCTTTAAAATACACGATACTAATAGTCCCGTGTAATTAGAGAACATTAATTACAAAAGTAATTAAAATCATAAAATACACATGACTGCCACTCTTGCGTATTTTACAGTCAAAACCAAAAAATACATGAGACTATTGTTATGTCCTATATACAATATAATTGCTCCAAGCAAGTGAGTTATAATAGCATTTTTCATTCACATTGTTTGGGGTAAGATTTGATAGGGACATTGCATCAAAGAGATTTTTTTATATTTAAAGTACACGGTGAAATATATCATAATTTCCCTGCTCTAATTTCGTAAGAAAATAATTCTTCATACTTTTAGTTTTACTTCTATGGTATGGAGAATGAGCTATAAAATTAAACGAGAATATTATATAATGTAAATATGAGTGAAATCGCAAATAAAAGTTAATGTGAATATGAGTCAAACCATAACTAAAATTTTAATGGACATATTGCAAGTAAATTCATATGTAAAATTCCTTTGTGAATTGAATGATCACCCATCTTTTAAAGACTTCAAGATACTAATAAACAAAGATATTGTACTAGATCAATATGTTTATATAACTCACGTGGCGATAGTTTCGGTTGAAGGAAACAATGACAATATTTCATTTGAAAGAGAAATTATTGTGTTGGTAATCAATCTTGCAAAAAAAAATTATTTTCTCTTTTTTATTTTTATTCTATTTTTATCAATTTAAATAATCATAATATTCGAATTATTTTCTCTTTTTTATTTTTATTCTATTTTTATCAATTTAAATAATCATAATATTCGACCACGTGCATTACACGTGCAATCTAACTAGTATTTTAAAATTCATCAATTACAGAACATTCTATGAACTTTTTAGGAGTTGTAACAAACTCCTAACAACATTTTTTATTACTAAACACTCCTGAATTAGGAGTTATTGCATATAACCCTGTAAACTATTTTATTTTACTAAATCTTAATTAAAAATTATCTTTTAATCTTCGTGTTAGTATCATCAATTCTAATGTGCCCCTAGTAAGCATAGCACAAAAGAAAAGTCAAAAAAATTTCTTCTAAGTCTTACGCCATCACCGACCCCCTCCTCCTCACCACCGCCCGAAAGCGCCGCCGCCCAAGCTCGGCCAAGCCCTCGACGTCCCCGTTCAGCGTCGCCGCCGTCCCCTTGCCCTAGCCATCACCTCCCCTCCTCCTCTCCAGCTCCCGAGATCGCCGCCGCTGAGCGTCGCCGCCGGGTCAGCGCCGTCTACTCCTCCTCGCCATCGAACTCACCCCTCGTCATCAGCCACGCCTCCGATGGCATTTGAGCTCAGCCCTCAGGTTCATCGCCGCCTCCGGAGCTCGACCAAGCCCTCGACGTCTGCCCTCATGGCTTCGAACAAATTGAAAGAGTCGACGTCTTCGAATTCTTCAAAATCAAAGCCTACCTCTTCTAAATGCAATAATCCTCCAACTTCGTAAGTAATTTGCCATGATATATTTAATTTTTAACTCTTTCTGAATTATAATTTTTGTTGTAAGCCATGATGTATAATGTTTGTGTTAATAAACTTGTTAATATGCGTCTTAATTTGCCCAAATATATTTAATTTTTAACTCTTTCTGAATTATAATTTTCTTGTAGGGCTAAGATAACACACTTGAGAATTCCGGCCAATTTGTGTTATTTTCGAGATTTAATTGATAAGCGAATAAAATTAGATGAAAGACACATAAAAGCCCTACAGACGACACCTTTTCACAGCTTTCTCAATATACCCACATCCTTGAGCAATGAGCAAATAGCAATTGATTGCTTGATTCAAAATTTTAATCCTGATAAATGCTCATTCATGATTGGGAATAAAAATTGTGTGTTCGGTATAGATGATATTCACCGAATTACCGGATTGCCAAAGGAGGGAATTCCGATAAAAATGAGTGGGGCAGCGGCTAATACAATCTACACCTATTTTGTAAAGAATTATAAGAAAGCCGATGAGGAAAAGAAGGCGGTGATTTCGGGGAAGCGCGATAGAATGGCCGAGATGATTGTAGATATGATTAATGAAGACCCTATAATATGTGTGAAACTTATTGTGGCTTTCATTATCGGCTTCATATTATGCCCGCGGACATGTAAGACATGTCCCTTGTGGGCGTTTAGATATGCGGAGCAGTTATCAACTTTGCATAAATATAATTGGTGCCATGCGGTGTTCACTCTTCTTTGCAAAGAGATGAGTAAATCAAAGAAGTCTCTTAGTATGCGGGAATTAGGTCAGCGCTCAAATGCCGGGTACATGGGTGGTTTTTCCTCCGTTTTACTGGTGAGTTACATGAACATTATTTTGTATATCTTCCCGTATTGATAATGATTATTGTTTATGCACATGCTAATGTGTAGTTTCTTTTTTGTAGGTTTGGTTTTATGAAAAAGTAGGGGAATTAGAGTACACTTCAGATATTGAAAGGTTACCGCCGCTCTTTTGTGTGAAGAGTACTGGAAAGTGGAGGAGGACTACTATGAACAAATTATATAGAGTCCCGAAGTTGGTTACGGATAATGGCCAAGAGAATACTCCTCTTATTCATACGGCATCGCCAATAGTATTTGTACATATCGTTGCTCTAATAGTTCATTATTTTATGTCCCTTTTGTTAGTATCTATGTTTGCAACTATAGTATACGTACTAATACTAGCTTTTTTTGGTCAAATAGGAATCAAGGAAAGCTGAATTAATTTTCTTAATTGCGGAGAAGACGTACGAGTTGAATGAGCTCACTACAGAATTACGAGAATTAGAAGAGCGTGGTGCTAGATGCTAAAAAAAAACCAAGGAGAAAGAGGATGACAGAAATGTAACTGAAGAAAAAAAAATCAAAGAGGATATGGAAGCTAAGGAATATGAGAATTTGGAAGGAACTGCGGAAGCCGATTTATGTGATGACTTTGTGATGAGCCCAAGAGACATGAGAATTTTAGAAGATGCTCGGTGAGTTTAGTTTTTTAAATTTTCTTGCAATTTTAATTTTTATATTTTCCATATAATTCTTGTGTAACTCTTTGTTAATTATATGCCTTCTCGACTCTATAGAGATGTTTCTCAAAAAGATGAAGGTGGTAATGAGAATAACAGAGAAACGCCATCTATCAAACGGGCTGTCGGAAAGAGGGAGAGGAAGGATGGACCCTCTGTTACTTCACCTTATATGCATCTAGATCAACCAAAGGAATGCACAAAGAAGAGACGTGTCATCCAGATATTGGATAGTCCTGATGGGAAAAAAAAAGTACAAAAATGAAGAAGGCTTCATACCTACATCTAGAGACTATCCAGGTAAGGCACTGGCGTGCGGTTTGATTATATGAGAAAAATTAATTGAAGACTTTCTACAATCGAGAATGAACAGTGTAACTGTTAGCTGACTTATTCTAATAATAATTCTTTGAAATTTACTTAATTCTAGTAGGCATTTTCACAATGTACTTAGCATATAGTGATACGTACATTTTGGAAGTTGTGGCCGAAGCAAGGCGTATCGTCGCTTAGATGCTATTATACTTTAACGGTGAGCGTGAACTCAGTGACGATGTAGGTTTCTAAACAATTGTGTTATTGATTGTTTCTGATGTTGTATATAAAATAATTTTATATTAAACTATTTTATTCATTCAGTAATTTTTGTAGGTGATCGATGCATTTGGTTTTATTTCGGCCTTTGTAACAAGATTGAAAACAAGTGATAGTTTATGATTCGGAAATGATACATGTCACAAGACCTTGGCTTGTTGGCAGTAAGTTTATCTGTTTTTTCACTAATGTTGATATTGATTAGTAATGTTATCCCACAATGTGACATTTATGTGGCATCTTTTAGAGGCATTTCTAGAAGAAATCTTGAAATGGTGGCAAAACGAATGAAGAAAAATGTTTTCTTCCAAGCAGAAGTTCTTTGGGACTGTGTGACAAAGATTCTGATCCGATTGTCAGCTCCGACATTGGCACCTGTAGATGTTAGTGAGAGAGCGAGACAAAATTCTATCACTATCCTCACATCAACCCCTCCCCCATTTATACGCCGTGCTGTGAAATTTTATAAATAAGTTTATGATTTTCATTGAGAGTAATGGGGATTGGGAAATTGGAGCATCATGTCTTGTTCAGTTCGGCCCGTCGCACAAACAAGGAACCGTAAGTGTTCCATGCATTTCAATTTAATGTTCATTTTTTTGTATTTCACGTCATTTTCAATATTGTAATATTTTTCCTTAATGCCCAGAACGTTTAGGATTGCGGGATTTATTGATGGAATTCCATTAACAGCCGATGTGCGAAAAACGGTCGATAACAATGTCAAAAGGTAGATTGCCTTGCAAATATAGAGCAAGGTTTGTGCTGTCTTTTGTATGCGCCGCGATTCACCTTTTTTGTAAATATTATTTTAATTTTCTCCAAGGTTTTTGTTTGTGTATTCAATGTTGTAAGTATGTTTCATGTTGGTTTAATATGTTGTTAATTGTTTTGCGTTGTACAATTTACAGATAAACTACGATTGTTGTTGTGTGTTGTAAGTATTTCATGTTTTAAAATTGAGAAGTAAGCTTAGGCATAACATAGCCACCCAGAAGCAAAAATTGTGATAGAAATAACGCCAGCCAGCAGTTAGAACTAACTCGAGAAGGCGATAGAAACTAACAGGAGGTCAGCTAGAAATAACAAGCGTGACGGTTAGGGCTAACATGGCCACCAAAACGAACACTTTGTGCCTAGAAAATTAACGCCAGCCCGCAGTAGTTAGAACTTAACTCGAGAAGGATGAACTTAACAGAGGATGGGCCAGCTAGACTAACAAAGCGTGAGGGTAGGGTTAACATGGCCACCAGAGCAAACACTTTTGTGGAAATAACTCCAGAGCCCGCAGTAGAACTAACTCGAGAAGCGGATAGAACTAACAGGATGGCAGCTAGAACTAACAAGAGTTATGTAGGGTAACATGGCAACAGAACACACACTTGCTGCTATTCTAGGAAATAACGCAGCCCGCAGTTAGAACTAGCCATGAGAATGGATCAGCTACTTAACAGGCAGATCAGCCTAGAACTATTCACATTTATCTAGAACTAACATAGTCATTAGAACACAACTAGAATTAACATAGGCTAGAACCCACAATTTAAAACTAGACCTTGCGTTAGCTAAACACGGAGAATTGGGAAGAACGAAACACGCGGAAACGGCTAGAAGAAACATTAACCCAGGTAGAACTTAACATATTCAATAGATTACCCAAAACACTTAAACTAACATTATTCACTTGCCACGTTGGCTGTGCAAGGTTACCGAGATCATTCATTAGCGTTTGACTGCATCGTTGTTTGCGTTCAGTCAAGGTTGAGAGACACTCACCTTGCAAAGTGCCAGTCCAAGGAGGGAGAGTTATGATAACCTGGTCCGGAACTATCCCCAATCCCACGCGGCAACATCACCATCCCCAGAAGGCCTGTTCAACGCCCAGGATAGTATTTGATTACCTTTTCGGCGCAATCTTTTTTCGCGATCCCCCATCGCCGACTCCTCTGTAGACTCTTTCCTCATTATAAACCCCATCTTTTACCCTCTCCCCTACCCTTCAGATTCCCCGTAATATATGGCATTGTAAATTCCATGGCTAGTTCCTGTATCATCGAATGAAGGTCATTGCCTAACCCTGGGACGCACGCTGATGTGGATCTTGGATATTCCCTCACGCTGATTTGAAGATTTATCCCCATTTCTTTGCTTCTGAGTTCCTATCATTGGGTGGAATATACCTGGCTCCCTTCAAAGAGTTTGTGCATTAACGCGCCCAGTTAAGAATTCATAGGCTGACTGATCAATCAGATGGGGTCATGCCTGGAATCACTTGGGGAAGGCATGACAATGCTGGGATGAGAATTTGTCCTCTGCATACCGTTAACATCTTGCAATACCAGTGTATAACGTTAAGCCAGAGCGACTATCTTTTTGCTAGCATTCACATGCCTGCCCTAGGTGATTCACGTTACTGACCCGTCTGAATGATCGTATATCATGCGCTTATGAATCTTACTGATTGTTATTGCCACAGCTCATTGCAAGGGACCAATCTCTCTCTT